AAGACAGACCAAAAAAGAGTTGATGCTTTTGAGTTGTGTTGTTGAAGAATATGGAAAGTACCAAGGACTGCCAGAAGAACTAACAAATCTGTCCTGGAGGAAGTGCAGCTGGAATGCTCCTTGGAAGCAAGAATGGCCAGACTTTGTCTCACCTACTTTGTTCCTATTGTCAGAAGGGACCATTCCCTGGAGAAAGATAGCATTCTTGGTAAAGTGGAGGATCAGAGAAACGAGGACGGCCCTCAATGAAATGGATTGTCTCACCATCCTTGCTTCTAAGGAACATTCTGGATATACTTCTTCCAAGACAGATTTGTTCATTTGTTCTGGCAGACCATGGTATATTCGTATTCTTTGCCAACACGATAATTCAAATGCATCCGTTCTTCTGCAGTCTTATTCATCAGCCAGCTTTTGCATGCATATGAGGTGGTTGAAAATGCCATGGCTTGGGTCAGACCTTAGTCCTCAACGTGACATCTTTGTTTTTTAATACTTTCAAGAGGTCTTTTGCAGCACATTTTCCCAGTGCAACATGACATTTGATTTCTTGACTCCTCCTCCCACAGGCATTCACTGTGGATCCAAGTAAATGAAATCCTTGACAACATCGATCTTTTCTGTGTTTATCATGATGTTTCTTACTGCTCTAGATGTGATGATTTTAGTTTCTTTATGTTGAGGTATAATCCATACTGAAGGCTGTAGTTCTTGATCTTCATCATAAGTTCTTCAAGTCTTCTTTACTTGCAGCAAGCAACCTTGTCTCATCTGCATATCGCATGTGGTTAATGAATCTTCCTCCAATCCTGATGCTTTGTTCTTCTAATTGCAGATTAAAAGATGCTCTAAAAGTATACAGTTTTAGAATTGCTAACAGTAAAAGTTGATGGTTTGAACCCACCCAGCCATGCTGTGGAAGAAAGGCCTGATGATCTGCTTCCATAAAAGATTGTAGCCCAGATGACCCTATCAAGCCTGGTTCAACATGGAGTTGCCATAAGTTGGGATGCTTCAATGGCAATTAATTTGGTCTTTTGAATTTTCCTTGGGCCCATCAATCTTTCCTCTTCATGAATGATCCATACTTTTTTTTCCCTTAAAAAAAAAAAAACTTCATTTTCTTTTTTAGAGAAATTTAGGGTTTACAGAGAAATCGTGCAGGAAGTAGAGTTCCCTTTTATCCCCTCCTGTCTGCACACTGTTTCTCCTACTATTAACATCTTGCATTCGTGTGGTATATGTGCTACCATTGAACCAATACCGATGCCTTATTATTAACTAAAACCCATAGTTTACATTACAGTTCATTTTGTGATGTGAGTGAGTTTTGACATATGCATAATGTCGTGTGTCCACCGTTACAGTATTGTGGTAGTTAAGGTTTTATGTCAACTTGTCTGGGCCTGGTTGAGTGGCTGGACAGCTGGATGTAGTTATTCCCCATGCTAAGTAAGATTGGTAATCAACTCCATGGTGGAATCTACTGGAGCACCTGAGTAGCAGCCTTAGGGATGTGATCTGCTTCCAGTATATAAAAAGTGTTAAGAACGGTCACAGCAGCTTTTGACACGTTTGAATCTTGCATGTAGCTGAGTCGTCGTTCAGCAGCCTGCCATGTTGTCTGCCGATCTTGGGACTATTAACGGACTTGAATCACTGGCCTGCCATGTGGTTTGGTAGTATTGGGACTGTGCCTTTTCACTTGTTGACATTGGGTTTGTCAGCCTCAGCAGTCAGCAGCTTCTTGGGGAAGAAAGTCTCCAGCTTCCGTGGGCTGGAAGCAGAGGTGAAGCCCAAGGTTGAGAGGCTTTCACCCCACCCATAGAGCCTGGCACTTTGAACTCAGACTTCTAGCCTCCTAGATTGTAAGAGAATAAACTCCTGTTCATTAAAGAAAAAAAAAAAATAAAAAGTATACAGTTTTATTAATAAATTAGAGGTGGCATTATCTTGGTAGTTATTAGTATAGAAAAAGTGAGTGATGAGCCTCTACCCACCTGCCTTTCCCACTTTCTTGAAAGCACAGCCAAAGAATCATTCACTGCTATATCCCCAGTGCCTAGAATAGTCTGGGCATTTGGCATTTAGTAGATGCACTTGACTGCTAACCAGAAGGCTGGCGGTTCAAACCCACCAGCCACTCCTCAGAAGGAAGTTTGGACAATCTACTTCTGTAGTGATACCGCCTCAGAAACCCAAGGAGGGGTCGCTATGAGTCGGGTGCGACTCGATGGCATATAACAACAACAACAGGAAATGTTCATTGCATTTGATCATTGGCTATCCTAGGATGGATGAATGGATGGAAGGAAAAGGGAAGGAATATTATTGCTTTCATTTGTTCTGTAAGTAGAATGAAAATACATTGTTTGGCTTCCCTTATGTTTTTTTTCTGATTTCTAATAGCTTAAAGTCTGTCAAGTTCCAATGTAGGGTGGTTGCTCTTGTCCGTCCAACTAAATACCTGTCTGCATCAGGCTGCTCTAGAGACTGGGTTATGCTAATCTTCCCAGCTGCTTAAAACAACTACACAAAAGTACTATTTACAATAACTGTTAGCATCCATTATCTCATTTGATTTTTAAAACAGTGCTTCCCAAACAAAGCCAGATATTACAGCACAAACCCTAAAGCCAGATTTCTGAGATTCAAATCCAGCTCCAACACCAGATCACTGTGTGACTGGGGAAAGTGACTTAAAATCTCCATTTATCAGTTTTCTCATCTGTAAAACAGGGATGATAAGTATATCCTATTAATAAGATTGCCATAGAATTCAATGAAATAATGCAGGTAGAGTTCTTAGCATGGGGCCTGGCCACAGTAAGCTTCAATCATTCATTGTTAGTGGTAATAGTAGTAATAACATCTGCCCTTCTATACTTGGCATTTCTTCAGAGCACTGGTCATGCTTTGTTCATCTTGAAATCCCCTCCTACCATAGGGCTTGTCATCAATTAGGTACTCAACAAATTTTTGTCAGATTGAATAAAGTAAACATTTTTTTTTTTTTAATCAGAAAGTTATTTTCCAAATGAGTAAACTTAAGCTCAGAGGGGCACGCTACAAGGTTTGAGCAGCTGCTATATATCAGTCATTATAGATCAAGTCATTTAATCTTTAGGCAACCTTCTGAAAGGTTCAAGTAGGGATCCCAGGATTCAAACCTGCATCTTTGAGTCCTAAGCTCAGAACTCTTTCTACAAAACTCTCTTGCCTCTCCTACAAAATATACACAAAGTTTTCCTGGATCAGCTACTAATATATAATCATGATAGCATTTGGGAAAATAAGTCATAAGATGAATTGATTATCTCACTTTCATTTACTTGTTAGATCTCAAAGAAAACTGCAAGTGAACAAATTATATTCTCAGTGTCCTAGCTTTTTGAATTCTAAAGAAAAAAATACAACAGGTAACTGAATGTGAATATGAAAAAATGAACAAATAAGAAGAGTCTGAACAGATATAGAAAGGGTAGGATAAGTGGGTGTTTTACAAATGAAAGCAGATGTATGAAATTACAAGCTGTCAGATCAGCAACAGAAATGAAGATGATAAAGTGGTTTCTTACATAGATTATAATTATTCATTTTGCCCAGTCTTGTCTCCTTTCCCTATAATCCTCATGGGAAAGAAGGTAGGGTGGGGGGAGCTACCGCAAGGAGGGGTATTTTCAACAGAAGAAGAAAAAGAATCTAAGAACTGAAAGTGTTTCTGGTCACAAACAGTTGTTTATTTTGTGGTTGTTTATTTTGATTCTTTGTATCAAATCACAGTTGTTTTCCTACAGAAGATTTTTCAACTAATCTTTCTTAGTAGAAAAGAATTTGAGACCACAGGAAGTTGTAACTAAAGTTTCCTCACAATCAGTGCTGTGGAGGCAGGCAGGGTGGCTCATAAAACAAGCATCCTAATGGGCCCGAGGGGAGCTCTGGTAGAGTAGTGCCTAAGGCACTTGACTGCTAACCAGAAGACTGATGGTTCAAACCCACCAGCCACTCCTCGGAAGGAAGATGGGGCAATCTATTTCCATAGTGATACTGCCTCGGAAACCCAAGGAGGGGTCGCTATGAGTTGGATCCGACTCGACGGCACATAACAACAACAACAACAATGGGCCCTAGTGTGACAGCAGTGGCAGATGGATTGCCAAGAAATGAAGCCATTTACATAGACCTGCCTCAAAAGATGCGTTTAATAATTGTGCTCATAATTAGGTGGGTTTGAAAAAAAAAAATTAAATGACAGTCTAAGGAACACCGACTTTTATATGAAGATTTTGACATTTTTCTTCCAAGACATGCTGCATAGATATTGCCCCTAAATTTCTTGCTACCTTTAGGGAAGAAAAAAAAAATGGAAGAAATTATGTTGTTGTTAGGTGCCGTTGAGTCGTCTCCGACTCACACAGATCCTATTCATATCCTTTAGAAAAAAAAAAAAAAAAAATGGAAGAAATTATGTTGTTGTTGTATATTTTCTTTAATTTAGAATTATATAATATTTTATATGTACTACAAAATAAATATAGCATTTAAGTTTTGAAGCATAATAATCAAGGTAAATATTATTGTATGAGAATTTTTGAACTGGTTCTTTGCTATTTGTAACATTTTTGTTAACAGTTTCTAAGCAGCAAATCTAGGGACATTTAAACATAGCCATATAAGTGGAAGTAAATATGCATGCTTCCGAGAGTTGGTATTGCTAGCACACATTCGTATCTGTATCTGAAGCTCCTCTTCCCAGCCCCCCTGAGGATAATCTGCTAGTGTGTCAGATTGCAGCTAACAGTTCAGTGTGCTGCTTCAGAGGACATTCGGTGGGAATCGCTTCTCTCTACTTCCTTTTATCCAATCAGTAGTATTATTGGATGCTTTATTTGAATCTTAAGTTGTTAGTTTTTATAATCTTAGTTATCCAAACTATTTTAAACTGTAATGCTTCTGAGGTTTTTTCTCTCTCTCTCTTTCTCTCTCTCTCTCTTACTTAGTGATTTCTAGTAACTACCAGACCTGCCTTGGCCTTCTGATGCATTATCCACCCATTGGGGATGTACACTCACTGATTCTTAAGGCTCTGTTCCTTCGAGACCCAAAGGTAAGCTTTTCAAGTAGGATATGCATAATTTTTACTAGTGAAAAATTGGTTTCTCTGTATGACTCCAAGAATTCACAATACTGAGCTGACAGAATTTCCTCAAGTTTTTAGACCAAAATTTGTATGTTTCATTGACCACTATCTCAGAAGGCAAATTAAGTGAACACTGCCAGGAGTCACTGGAGCACATATCTCTTATCCCTAAGAAGGATTGTTCTACCGTCCTGCCTTCCTCATAACTCAAGAAAATAGTTAGCAACTGCCCACCTTACAACCACACTTCATTGACACTGATTGGTATCCTTCTCAGGGGATGAGTTAGCAAAGTAGGCCCTTAGGGGCCATCTGAAGATGAAGAAATTAGACCTATAAAATGGACCAGTTCTATAAGAATTTATGATACAATAAAATACTAAATTATTTCATCTTATGAATATGTGTTTCTTACTTTGTGGGCTGTGGGTTACCCAATAAGATAAAAGTTTAAGCAGACTTTGATGCTGATTTCTCTATTTGAGCTTAAAGCGGTTCACCAAAATTTTCTTTACACTTCAGAGCAAAAGCGTGCTCTTTTACAACTAACGTTGTATTTCTTGAAAATAAGAACATGTAAAGATCTTCAAAAATCTGTGAATCTTTCCTGCTTTTTCAACAAAAATATTGGATGAAGTGTGAGAAAGAAAGCTTCAAACACAAGTATGAGAATGCCAGGCATTGGATGATAATCCCAGCCTTTGGCTCTTTGGCAGACCTCCCAACAGTCAGGTTGGCAGTTGTCGAACTGTCTTTGAGTCAGTCTGTCTGTGGATTACATTGCCAAAGCTCTGTCTGATCGATTTGGTCCTCGAAGTTCAGCGGCAATTTGAATCTGAAGGATTTCTGCACTTCCATGGCTGTCAACATCAGCATTTAAGTATATCCTCTATTTATTCTTTGACTGATGTAAATTAATTTATTACCTTAGCCTTATATTCATTTCCTCTAGAAATATAGACTTTTATATAATTTATCTTACATAAAGCAATCTTATTACTGAGCATCAGAAATTTCTCTGATAGTTAAGGAACCATACAAAGAAACTTTTGAGGTTTGTTTTTGTTTTTGTTTTATTTTGTTTCAGTCGGGGAGGGTTGTGATGTTATTTTTGTTTTGGTAAGGTTTAAAAGTCTGATTATGGAGAACAAAAGTCCTGTATTTATATTTATATGTACATACTTATATATAAGTCTGTATGTGTGTGTTATATGAAAAAAATAACCAAGACTGAGAAATGTCTGCAGGAGAAGAATAAAGTATGAGGTTGCTGGTCAATGAGGTCTAGAAGTTTTGGTCTGCAGACTTTAGGCAAATTCATCTCAACATTAGTGAATTTCTGGAGTCATACAGAGTAGAGTAAAAATTACTTAAATAGCAATTTGAAATTTCTACTTGTATGATTTGTTTGGTTTAATTAAAGAGAGAAACTAATATGTTATCTAAACCTATCAATCTTGCTAAATTTTTCCCAGCCGAATATGGTTGATCTCCTCTTCCTATGAATCACTCACTCATCTAGTGGCAGAACTCTATATACTTAAGCCCATCAATGTTGTTACAGGAACCTGAATGCTCTATTATGTTAGCATGATTTTAGTAGAGTAGTTTACATAATACAAAAGCATAACAAAGCAAATCCTATAGCATGAGAAAAATGTATTCTTTAAGCTTTAAGAAAAAAAAATTAAAGCATAAATGTCTAAAAAAGGGAATTCCCCGCTTTTATGGTTATGGTCTTACCAAGTAAAATTTGATAAAGATAAGGCTCCAAAACGTAGGACCTTAGACTGGTATCTCTGAGACAAGAAGTTGAGTGAGGGGGGCCATGGTTAAAAGGCTCCTTGAACACAAGTTCATGGAACTTTGATAGCTATAGGGAAAATACAGAAAGCTGTGTAGCATTTAGGGGCTTTCAGATGATTGACCGAGCAATGTGATATAGTTAATTGTATATCATAGCTGACACATTGACATCATTTAGTAAATGTCAAGCGATATCATATATCACTTGGCCCTTGTGCTGATTGTATGTGCATAGCAGTGTAGTGTCCTGCACGGAAGCTGAATTAGGAATCGAGACTCTGGGTCAAGCCTTGGCTCTGCCACCTACCATCCTTGAGATTTGGAGAAATTCAGGCTCATTGAGTAGTGTTGTCCTTTTGTTACAATTAGAGGTTGGATTAAATTCTCTATGGTTATGCACCCAACCAGAGCACCCTTTGTTCATAAAGAACTGACTTGTAATGAACTAATAAGATCTGATATGGTCCTAAAGGTACAAGTGAAAAGACAAGAAAAGCAAGTTTATCTGTACTATAGCAGTCCACAAGTGGACAGTTTTCAGTGTAACACAAACACAACCACTGCCATGGAGTCAGATCCAACTCATAGCGACCCCTCCTTGGGTTTCTGAGGTAGTATCACTATGGAAGTAGATTGTCCAACCTTCTTTCCAAGGAGCAGCTGGTGGGTTTGAACCTCCAGCCTTCTGGTTAGCAGTCACATGCCTTAGGCACTACGCCACCAGAGTTTTCAGTGTAGTTAATGTTAATTATAAAGGAGGCTATGCTGAGGGGTAAAAAAAGAGAAGGAAAGATGACGTTAGGAACCCTATTCCTGTTTCCTAAAAATCCAGGCAGCAGAATACTTTAAATATTTTCTATTTCTTAACAACAGTGAAACACTTGAATCATTCCTAAATATTTACCAATAGCTCAGAGTAAGTACATAAACTCACAAGTCTCTATCAAGTGAACTAGCAGAAAGATGAGTTTGGAGGCATGAGAGCACACTTTGACATATTCCAGCTTCCCATGACAGTAGTGTTGCATGCCACTGACAGACTGAACAAAATAAAAATATTCAAGGCATTCTGAGCCCTCCTAAGTTCATTGTCAGCCTTGAGAAAAGCACTTTGTCCTTCTACCATCCCTAAACCCAGTAGAGATTGCGCAATTGAAAAAGCAGCCCCTACCAGTAGAGCTTGTGACACTGTACTCTAATTGTTTTATATCAGAGGTAATCTTTACTGTGGAAAGATTTTTTATTTGAACAGACTTAGATAATGAGCCTATTAACTATAATAATAGGATCATACTTCTTCACTGTTTTCCAAGCACTTTGACATACTTGTTTCTCCCAACAGTCCCATGAGATAAGCAGAGTAGGTTATCTTTCCGTACTGTTTTTGAGACTGTATGACTTCTCTAGGGTCAAAAAGTTCCAGCTAGTACTGTAGCTAAAGTAGCTCCATAATCCATGTATCTACTCAACTCCTCAAGATTCCCAGAATCTATTTTACCTTTGCTATGAAGGCATTCCCAGGCTCAGATAACATGTCCCCTCCCTTTTGAGTCCCCAGAAGTCAATTTTGATTCATGGCAACCCCCTGTGTGTCAGAGTAGAATTGTGCTTGCACATAGGATTTTCAATGGCTGTGACCTTTTGGAAGCAGACCACCAGGTCTTTCTTCTGGGGTCCCTCTGGGTGGGCTCAAACTTCTCACCTTCTGGCCGGCATCTGAGCAAGGACCTTGTATTTCAGCTCTTTGCTTACTAATTTTGTCAATTATTCTTCTTAGGACTGGATCCTATTCACTTTGCTGCTGTTGTTCTCTTTAGCACTAGTTACTTGTGTGTCCTGCATGGGCTTGGTATTAAGAACTAACAATGGAATTGAATTCTGACTCAACATTAACCCTCTTTCCAGTGTACTATACTGACTCTAGTCCATGTAGACTTTGCTAACCCAAGAGGTTTCTACCATATCCACATGCCACATAGGCCATTGTTGTTGTTGTTATTTGCTGTCGAGTCGGTCCCGACTCATAGCGACCCCTCCTTGGGTTTCCAAGGCAGTATCACTACGGAAGTAGGATTGCCCAACCTTCCTCCCGAGGAGTGGCCATAGCCAATTACAAATATGCCAGCTTCCATTTTTATCAAGATGATGAATTGGCCTGCAACTTAAAGGTCATCTACTTCCTTAATTTGCTATATGTCAGAATTATTAGAAGCTTTTTATTACCTCCAAATATTATGGAACAGAGAAGAAATAATAAAGAGTCTAGATAATATACTTCACTTAAGCCAATCAGAATTTCAAAACTGAAAAGAAGCTAATTATCATCTAATTTAGCCTCCTTCTTTCATAAATCAACAAATTGAGGATCAAGGTGAAGTTGAGAGATTTATTTAAGGTCAATAGCAGAGCCAGCAAGTGAACTCAGATCTTCAGAGCACCCTTCCACACAAGCCTATAGCTTCATTCCTTTTAATAATAATGGATTTTTGGTATATTTCTCAGAGAGCTTCTTCTATTTTTAATAGACATTTGTTTGCATCTGCAGTAAGTAAAAGAGCCATATACTGAAGTGACCCAAGAATTATTTGAGATTTTTGAAAACATATGACATATGAAGAGTCTGGATATCAAATATCTGTTTATAACATTGTACACACTGTACACTGTAAATACGTTTTCTAGGTTTAGCTCTTCAGCCCATGATCCTAATTCTCATTTTCTTGGTTTTACCATATTAGTACCACTGAGCAGATTTCCAAAACAATCCACTGAACGAAGTGGAGGGATAGGAGGAGGACAGTCTGAAAAATATGAAGTGATTAAAAAACATTGTTCTAACTAGTTGTTCAAATGAAAAAAAAAAATTTAAAACCCAATTAGAAACAAAAGTCATAGAAAATGTGAACATATTGTGTTCCTTAAATAACCAGATGTTCTCTCCTTCCTGAAGGCAGTAAGGGCTAGGAATAAAAGGTTTAAAACTATTGTTTTAAGTTAACTGTGAATTTTGCAAATCTGTGTTTTTTTACCCTTTAGCAAATAAAATTCTAATACAAAAACATAAGCAAAGTAATTTTCATTTTTTGGTGCTCTCCTATTTGTGTTGTGTGTCGAAGTCTTAACCTTATCACAAAGACTTATTACAAATGAGATACAGTGTA